CCAGCCCAGTATTATTAATAAAAACAAATACACATGCCAGACAAGAAGTGAGAAAGGGCTCCATATTATTGCAACTTACATTTTCTTGATTAACAGCAAATAGATTATTTTCCACACTTATGGATTAGTTCATCTTGTGTGAATTTTCTGTTCATTTTACATGGATCTTCATAGACTAAAACTGTTGGCCATTATATTGCCTATAATTTGCTAACAGCAATCTTTTTTTTTTGAGATGGGTTTCACTATACAATTCAGGCTGGCCTTGAATTCATAGCGCTCCTCCTGCCTCAGCTCCTGAATGCTAACAGCAATCTAAATGGAACAGTTTAAAAAGAGAGTTGTCCATGTGTTTAATTCATGTTTTGTTTTTTTTTTTTTTTAAGTGACCCACTAGACACTTGGCCGGAAGGACTGACTGCTGGGATGCTATTAAAATTCTCATGAGCTGGGTATGATGGTATACACCTGGGGAGGCTGAGCCAGGAGAATTGCTGTAGAGTTTGAGGCCAGGCTGGGCTACAAAGTGAGTTGAAGGCCAGCCTAAATTGCACAGAGAAATGCTGTCTCAAAAAGACAAAAGAAAAAAAATCTCATGTAGAATGCTATATAAATTTATTTGTTGTTGTTGTTGAGACAGGGTCTTGCTATGTAGTTCAAGCTGGCCTCAAACTCATGGCAATCTTCCTGCCTTAGCCTCCCACCATGCTGGGATTACAGGTGTGTGCCACTATGCTCTGCTATATATTCCATTCCAAGTACACAGCTCTCTAACTTGCTACCAAAGAACAGAATTATGCCCTGGAAGCTCCTAAGTCAAGGTCCCCAGAGCTGGGTATTTTTTACAGATGTGTAGCCTCTGGCCAGAACCAGTCAATACACTTGAACAAGTTTCCCCACCAGGGAAGGAAGAGGTAATAAGTACAATGAGGTTTTTTTGCAAGTGACCCAGTGGACATTTGGCCAGCAGAGTAACTCGGGATCTGAGAGAAAGGACTATCTGTAGCTGGGTTTATTTGTTTTTTGTTTTTTGCCTTTTTGAAACAGGGTCTTGCTATGCAGTTCAGGCTGCCCTTGAGCTCACTTTGTAGCCCAGGCTGGTCTCAAACTCGCAACAATCCTCCTGCCTCAGCTTCCCCAGTGCTGGGATTACAGGCATGCACCACCACACCCAGCTTATCTGTAGCTGTTCTTAATAGCGGTTCTAGGTTCACTTACTGTCCTCTTCTGTTGAGTGGGTTCCTTCGGAAATGTAGATTTCCAGCTGGAAGAGAAAACGGTAGAGGTAAAACATGAGAACACTGCAAGATGAAAGTGAGGTAAGTGCACAGTGGACTCGAGGATCCAGGGATGAGAGCCTGAGTCCTGTTTCTGACACTAAAGACTTAGGGACAAGTCTCTTACATTCTTCTCTAAAACTGAAATTTGACTGAAATTTTAATATTCTGAGCTGGGCTTGGTGACACATGCCTGTAGTATCAGCATGCAGGAGGCTGAGGCAGGACGACTGAGTTCAAGGCCAGCCTGGGCTACAAACTGAGTTCAAGGCCAGCCTGAATTACATAGCAAGACTCTGTCTCCAAGAAAAAAAAGTGGTATTCTGGTCGACTGGGAAGGCCGCAGGGGGCATTTTTATGATACACATAAGCACAATTTTATACCAATGAGATCACACACATGCAGTTCTACTTGGGAAGAACCCTCGCTGCACTCTAGTGCTCCCCAAATCAGTATCTACACAGGGGGCTGGGGATTTAGCTCAGTGGCAAAGCGCCTGCCTGGCAAGCGCAAGGTCGTGAGTTTGATTCCTGGTACCGGAAGAAAAGCAAAAAAAAAAAAAAAAAAAAAAAATGGGGCTGAGGATTTAGCTCAGTGGCACAGCACCTGGTTGGCAAGTGCAAGGTCATGAGTTCGATTCTCAGTACTGGGAGAAAAACAAAAACAAACAAACAGTATCTACACATCCTCCTGCCCCAATCCCAGGAAAACCTTTAGCAATCTTGGGTAGTTTCTTGTATATTTTCCTCTAGATTCATGTAATCTTATAGAAATTTTACACCCACCCACAAACACCCCAAGGTTGCAGGTTTCTTTTCATTACGAGTTTTATAAAAATGGAATTGTGATATGTGGAGTTTCAGCATCCCCCTTTTCTCACCCTCGAGGGTGTTGTTACTTTCGCCCTCAGGTATAATATCCATTACGGTGTCCCTCCCGGCCCTGCTGTGTCCCCACAAATTAGCTCACCTCAAAGACCCACAGCCTCCAAGACAACCTATCCTGCGGCTAGGAAGCCTGCTATACAAAGAGACAGGGCTACTCTCCAGAGAACGCCGCCACACACCAACTAATTATTTACTTATTCACTACCGGAAAATATATTTCATGAGTGAAAAAAATCACAGCCAATTAGAGCTAAAAAGGACCCACCAGAGATCACTAGTCCAATTGCTTTGGCAAGACAGATCACCGTACAAATTCTTCTAGCGGCAGAAATTCTTACTCTAGACCACAAAACCACAGGTGGAGAATCTGGGCACACTCATTTTCTCTGGTTAAAAATTATGCATGACTCCTTCCTCTGAAGAACGACAAGGAAAGGGGAAGAGGCAAGCATTCATCTGCTACTCCCGTATGGATCGCACTACAAAGGAACCAGGCGGTTGGCGGAGGGAGCGGCCCCAATAATGGGACAGAATAAAATTACAGACTCCTCGACATGATGCAGTGAGAACATTTATTCGATATTCCTGCCCAACACAGAGAAGCGATCTAATTGGGAAACATCACAGACCCGAACCTGAGAGAGAATGTACAAACGAGCTGACCTACACTCTTCAAAAATGTCAAGATCATGAAAGATGGACGCCACGAACTACTCCAGATGGAAGAGGCCTAAGAGGCATGACGACTAACGCTAACATCCCACGGGGGAGGGGACAGACGGAAGGGCGGGGGGGGGGTGGGAGGGATGGGTCGTAGCGGTGGAGCGCTTTCCTAGCATGCAGAGGACCCTAGGCTCATGGGGGGGGGGGGCGGTTCCTACTGGAAAACAGGCATGTTGGGATATGTGTTATAGACTGGATGACAGTTTTGTTTGTTTTTGTCTTTTTGAGACAGGATTTCACTATGCAGTTCAAGCTGTCCTTGAATTCACTTTGTAGCCCAGGCTGGCCTTGAACTCCCAGTGATCCTCCTGCCTCAGCCTCCGGAGTGCTGGGAATGCTGGGATTACAGGCGTGCACCACCACGCCCGGCCTGGATGACAGTATTGTATCAGTGTTAAATTTCCTAGTTTTGAAAACTGTATTGTGATAATGTAAGAGAATGTCCTTGCTTTTAGGAAGTATATCCTGCAATATGTAAGGGTAAGGAGGTGTTATGCCTGTACTCCAATCGTTTAAAAATACACACACACACACATACACACACACGAAGACATTAATGGTAAAACAAAAGTGGCAAATGTTAAGTATTACCAAACCTTGGTAAAGGAGTTTTTCTTTCTTTTTTTTTGTCTTTTTTTTTGAGACAGGGTCTCGCTATGCAGTTCAGGCTGGACTTGAGCTCCCTTTATAGCCCAGGCTGGTCTCGAACTCGCAGTAATCCTCCTGCCTCAGCCTCCCAAGTGCTGGGATTACAGGCATGCGCCATCACACCCAGTGGTAAAGGCATTTTTCTACCATTTTCCAACTTATCTACAAATTTGAAATCATTTAAAATTTCAAAATTTTAGAGCTGGTCGTGGTGACACATGCCTGTGGCTGTAATTCCAGCACTTGGGAGGCTGAGACAAGAGAATCCTTGTAAGCTTGAGACCAGCCTGGGCTAACAAGGTGAGCTCAAGGCCAGCCTGAACTGCATAGTGAGACCCTGTCTCAAAAAGAAAAAAAACCCTACAAATTTTAATACTCTAATTAAAACAGGTAAAATGCAAAATACATTAAACTTTACCAAGTATATAAGCCACTGGCATTAGTATTCATTAATTTACTCAATGTACCCAGGTGTGGTGGCTCACACCTCTAATCTCAGCAGTTGGGAGGCTGAGGCAGGAGGATTTCCAGGTCAAGGCCAGCCTGGATTACACAGTGAGTTCAAGGCCAGCCTGGAATATATATGTAGAGAGACCTTGTCTCAAAAACCACACCAAGCAAACAAAACAAAACAAAACTTCACTCACTTTCACACACATTCACTGAACCACTGATATGTGTAAGGTCACAGTGGGGAACATACAGGGTGATCAGATTTATATATTCTGACTTCAAGAAGCTGACAAACCAGGACAGAGCATGCAAAGTGAACTTAAATAGTGCAAACACACGTGAGAAAATGGTACTCTCCACATTAGAAGACAAAGAAAGGCTGAGGGGGAGGCATGACGGCACACTGGTAATCCCAGCACGCAGGGGGCTGAGGCAGGAGGATTCCAAGTCCCACTTTAGAGACTTGGAGAAATCCTGTCTCACAATAAATCAAAGATCAGGGCTGGAGATGCAGTAGAGGCCCTGAGTTCAATCCCTTGTACTGGGAGAAAAGAAATGTGCCAGGGGATTTCAGGGAGAGAAATGATTTTTGTTGTAGAAACCAAGCCTGACACCAATTTTTTTTTTTTTTTTTGGTACCAGGAATCAAACTCAGGACCTTGAGCTTGCCAGGCAGGCGCTTAGGCCACTGAGCTAAATCCCCAACCCCTGACACCAGGAAGATACCACTTCACCGGCCCTTACAGGATGGGTAGGGTTTGGGAAAATGAAGAGGGATGACTCCCTGTGTGAATAGAGGTTTGCAAGGGGCAAGGTGCAAAAGACAAGCCTGCTCAAGAATTATGAGAGATAGCAAGAGAGAAGACTGAGGCACTCAGGAGCTATAACCAATTACCATGAATTAACTGTGAATCCATATTCTTGTTTAGTAGTTACATAAAAACATTTTCCTTAAGCAATCTACCAAAAGTACATGTTAGAAAAAAAAGATAAATTAGACTTTATAAAAATTAAAAGCTTATGTAGCTGGGTTTGGTGGCCACTCTTTTAATCCCAGCACTCAGGAGGCTGAGGCAGGAGGATCACAATAAGTCCAGGGCCACCCTGGCCTACAAAGTAAGTTCTAAGCCAGCCTGAACTACAGAGCAAGACCTTGTCTCAAAAAACCAATACATACATACATACATACATACATACATACACACTTATGTAGTACAAAAGATATCACCAAGAAAGTAGAGAGAGAACACGCCTCTAATCCCAGTACTCTGAGAGGCTGAGGCAAGAGGATCTCAAACTGGAATCCAGCTGGGTAATTTAGAGAGACCCTGTTTTAAAACAAGAAAAAATAAATAAAAAGGCCTGGGTGCTGGGCTTGGTGGCTCATGCCTATAATCCCAGCACTCAGGAGGCAGAAGGCAGGAGGGAGGCTGAGGTAGGAGGACTGCTGTGGGTTCAAGGCCAGACTGAGGTGCATAGTGAAACCCTATCTCAAGAAGACAGAAAAAAAAAAAGAACTGGGGATTGAGCTCAGTGTGAAGGCAGTGAGTTTAATGCCCAGTAACACACACACACACACACACACACACACACTGAAAAGACCACCTGCAGAATGGGAAAAACTCGGATGTGCAACAGCTATGAAGCTATGAAGAGGGAAATAAATAAAGTGGGCAATATCCATACAATGAAATATTATAAGACAATAAAAAGGAATGAAAAGCTGATACACACAACATGGATTATGCTGAGTCAAAGAAGCCAGACACAAAATCCACACACTATCAATTCCACTTAAACGAACCGTCTAGTAGGCAAGTCTACCGAGACAGGAAGTAGCTAGGTGGTGTTCTAGGGCTGGAGGGGTCGGAGTAAAAGGCCAGTGACCGCTACCAGGCCCGGGGTTTCTTGTGGAGGTGAGAAAATACTGTAAATCACAGTGACAGCTGCACGATGCTGAACACGCTAAGCACCACTGACTGGTAAGGTAAAGTACACGACAGGTAGTGATGTCTCCACAGAGCTATCACAGAAGACAAGGGGGCCGCTGAATGAGGCCTATTTTCCTTGCCGTGGGAGGCCCTGGGGTCAAGACAGCAGCAAAACATCTCTCTTACCTTGTGTTTAAACGGCAAACACCGCTGAAGCTTTACTCTTAAGCACAGCCCTTGGGAGAGAGAGAGAGAGAGACTGGTTATAAGGCCCGCCTCATTCTTACTGGTCCTTGCCCTAGCACAGAGCTGCGTCTACTTGGCCCGTGGAATGCGGCCACTGA